GGATGTCATATTGCATTTCTGTTAATAGATACTCAACTTTGTTACACATTGCACCTTTAAAGATGTTTCAGATGCTTTGGGTACAGAGTATATTACCTTTTAACTAATGAGGTCAATGTACTTTAATGTAAAAATCTCTAGCATAAAAAGGTTTGATGATAATTATTACAGATGTGATCTCATTTTCAGAAAATGGGGGTTAATTCTGTAGCTTGTGTGACTTCCAGCAAACAACAATCTACACACACAATACACATTCACATGCAATACAGTGCAAAGCACTACAAACAGCATGACAGTGTAGTATCTTGTAAACAAATAATTGAAGCATACGGTGTACACCCTGCCAACATGTGATTTAAAGACAACGGTAGGATATATTGTTTCTGCACTCGTGAATATTTTGTATGATGGGTTTTTTATAGTAATTACTTAGTTTTGTGTTTGTCAAACGGGTATATCCTACTGCAAAAAGCCATGGTAAAGTCATTTGGCTGCCGTGAAGTGCTTGGCCTTTACCCTATTTCCTGCTCTTAATGCTTGTCACTGAGGCATTTGGCATGTATAAAATTTGTAGTTAAACATTTTTCTCATTTTATAGCTCCTGGGCGTATATTTACTACAGAGGTCCACTGAAGAAGCTACTGGGAAGAAAAATAGGCTTTACGAGATGAGATCAACAACATTTGTGCTCCTGGCATTTCAGAGGCCAAACACACACGGTAACTCTGTGTTGTCCAACTTGTCTGAAAAAAATATATATATTTATATATATAAATGTTAACTATTTCTAACTACTTTCAAATAAATGCTGTATTTAGAACTTTCTATTTATCCAAGAATCGTGAAAAAAAGTGTTACGGTTGCCACAAAAATATGAAAGAAGACATAAAACGAAAGTTACGAAGAAGAAGAAAAAAAATATAGGACAGGACTTGATTTTGTCCATCAGGAATTGATTGGTTTCCAATCTGTTGTGGTTTGGAATTGGAAATGTTGTGGTTTGCAATTGGTTGATATCATGTGTGTGACAGGTTGTCCCACCCTCACGCCAGTAAACACATCATCTGAATTCGGAAAGGTATGGAAAATGAATAACGGATTCTACCCTAAATTATATTTTATTGAAGTTCGAAAGAATCACGTTCAGGTTCAGATAATTAAACCTAATTAAACATGAGAGGAGTTAAGAGGTTAAGAAGACACCTCCTTTCGTTGGCAGTTTAACAGTATCCCTCCACCACCTCATCTCCTCACTTCGACATCAACTACAACATCATTGACAAATATCTTATCTTGTAAAGTGTGAGGTCAGTACCGCCACTCCCTAATCAGAGTATGCATGAACGTGAATTGGAAAGAGAAGTGAAAAGCGACCGTGCATTCAAAAACGTATTTATAGGGGCTCCATGATACCCTCAAATGATATACAATATAATAACCCAACTGTATAACTGCAAGAGTATGTTCAAATGGTCTTTGTTTCCTGTTTAAACACTTCTGGGCTTCAGGGTCTATACGACCCCAACAAATGATTGAGTAATTGTACAAAAAATATACATTTTTAATCATACAAATAATATATCATTTTTTTTGTTTACTTCTCATCTATTCATTAATGCTGTGTTTCTGTAGATATAAAGTACTTTTGTATCCATATACCAGACAATTCCTCAACTACACCATTAGCTTGCATATTAAATATTATTTTTTATGCTACATTGCATTTATGCTCTAGTACTAGGCCTTCATTTCTGTGTAAAAATTGTCAATTTATGCCAGATTTATTTATTTATTTTTTGACACATGAAGAAAATATATTTAGTTTTTTCACATTTCCCCTTAATTTCAAGGTGGGATCATATTGACCCCGAAGACCAGAAGTGTAAACATTTTTTTTTAACATACCTTCAGAACAACCGAATCAAGCCCAGTTTTTTGTGTGTGTATAGATAGATAATGTATGAAAAGTCACAAAATCTTATTCCACTGAGATGAAGGAACCTTTTTTTTTTTTATTAAGTAAAAGTCAATTGGGGTCGTATAGAGCTGGTAAGTCCCGCCCCTTCCGATAACCCCACTGGACCTCTAGGTTGAAAAACCGTCAATGCAAGTGAAGGAGAGAAAATAATTATTTTCTAGTCCCGTTTGAATTTTGCAATGAATGCAACATATGTTGTCTGTGAATTTTTTATATAATGTTTTGTGTAAAGAATGCTGCAATTTAGCGGGTAGAATTTTCATACAGTTAGACTTTGTGTGAGAGCACTTTGTGGACTACAACTCTTTCGACGCGTTTGATATGAATCACCCCCACTAGCACACGGATCCCGCTAAACATGCCTGTGTCTTTGGTGCACTTCACCAACTTCTTTCAGGGAGAGGACAAACTAGTTGAGCGTGGTGAAAATCGGGATTTGTGGAGGGAAAATGTGTTATGCGGCGACGTCACATATGCGCCGTGTAGTCTTTCTTGTTATGTCTATTCCACAACTGCTAGCCAAAGATTCATACAATATACTGTCAAACTCGTTACATGAGAAATTAATTATATAAAAAATTCACAGACAACATATGTCACATTCATGGCACAATTCAAAGGGGATCAGAAAATAATTATTTTCTCTCATTCACTTGCATTGACGCTTTTTCAACCTAGAGGTCCACTTGAAGTTTTACGGATGGGCGGGACTTACCAGCTCTATAGACCCCATGACCCGAATGAGGGCTAAATTTGTGTAAATAAAAATTTTTCAATCACCAAGTCCCTACAGGGGCTCTGTAGAACGCATAATTTAATTTTTCAAACATAGTATTCTAAATTGTGAGTGAAAGTTTTCAATTTAATTAAACAAAATATCTATTAGTAAATAACCTTTCAAAAGGATAGTTTCATTTATTCACCATCATGTCATTCCAAACCTGTATTCTAGGGCTGGGTATTGAGACAAATTTCACAATTCGATTCGATTTCGATTCACAAGCTTGCAATTCGATTCGATTTCGATTACGATTCGATTCAATATCGATTATTTTGGATATCAGTTACAATTAATGGCCATTTTTCTCAAGGTAATCAAATCTCTTAAATGCTGTACACTACGGGAGTCTAGTCTACAAACACTTAAATTACACTTTTATTTATTTTTATAATAAGAAGATTATATGAAACATAAACATTTAAATGGTGGCTGTCATAAAATTTATTTATGAAAATATTTATTACAAATATTTATTCAAATACGCATTAAATATTGAAGAACATTAAGATTATAATGCATATGTAATATGGTGTATATATTTAGCAAAATGCTCCTCTCTGGAGTTATTTTTTTCTAGCTGACTAACGAGTTTATGTGGGTTTTCTGAGGTAAATATGACGATACATGACATTGATTACAAGCTGTTTAACTGACGTTTTTCCACGGTTGAAACGCTGATTGAGCGAATGCGGATTTAGATAAGTTGTACTCTATCTTTAACACACTTTCAGATGCTCATTCATGTTTATTTCGCGGTGTGACTGGTATTATTAACCCGGAAGAGAGATCAGCGCTGCTGCTTCTCTTGAGCTGAGCCAGAGCGATCTCACGCCAAAGCGCCAAAACGCTATTTATGTTTTTGAATTTCTAAAGAAAATGGACGTGATTTGAAAATTGAGACTTTGTTTCATATCAATAGTTACAAAGGACAAAGATTATTGCGATTTTTTGGATGCGCGCAGCCGCGATACAATGTCCCATTCATTCAAATGAAACAGGATGACTAATCGATTCTTGAGATTTAAGAATCGATATCGGTTCGTAAAAATGAGAATCGATTAATATCGAGAAATCGATATTTATTACCCAGCCCTACTGTATTCAAACAGTCTTTTGTGTTTCACAAAAGACACAAATGAAAATATTAAAATTTTTGGGTGAGCTATCCCTTTAAGAGCTATACACATGGTTCTCACATGGCCAAAAATATACTTCCAACAATCATGCACGTTTGGAAACCGTTTGTTATGTGGTCATAACTCTTTGTGTCCAGGTGTCTGGACAACTCTGACATCAGATGAGCGATGTCTTCCATTCATAACGGTTTCACTTCTGACCACTCAGGAAAACAGCCACAGAACGCCCAAGTGTCCATTTCCTGTCCCTCATCCCACAATGCGCATTTAATTGCGTAACACAAGCATTTCTTTTTATGTGTTTTTCCTAGGTCTGTATGTGTTTGTGTACTTGTGACGCTGCGTATCTCAGGGATGAGGCCATCCGAGGGGAACCTTCGGAAAATGACACAGAGGCTGATAGATGTGTTTGCTGTGGCACCAGGCAAAGCAAGCCTTACTGCCGCCCGCCTGCTTTTTCTCAGCAAACTGAATGTTGTTCACAAGCATCACTGCTACAGTAGAGACCTTGCAGACTATGTAAAGTAAGTAAAGAATGTTTGGATGTATCTAAGGTCTGAAGCATTTCAAGCATTAAAAATGTTGCCATCATTTTCTCAGCCTAATGTTGTTTTGTTAAATGTAAGTCACTGAACGCCATTACATGCTTTTTGCATATCACAGAAGACGTAAACAATAACCTAGTTAAAAGAACAGCGAATACATTTTTCCTAACAACTTGTTTTGTGTTTAGCAGATGATAAAAAGAAATTACAGGGGTTGGAATGACATAAGGATGAGTAAATTACAAAATGTTCCTTTTTGTGTGAACTAACAAAATAATTATTTTAAAAAACTCTTAGAGTATATTCGTCTGCTTAATAATAGTACAAATGTTGTGCAACACACTCTTTTTAGTTTACTAGTTGTACAAACTACCCCTTCAATGTAATTAAACTATTTTTATGACAGAAATATACAATTAGATATCAGCATCGCATGTTTCCATGCCTCCCACATCTATCTCATAAATCGAGTGTAAACTGTGGCTTCCTGAGTTGAAATACCTCTCTTGTGGTGCTTCAAGTCAGAATGAGGTCACTGTCTCTTTAAGAAGCATCCTGCTGACAACTGTGAACAACTCGGATCTCCGTCCGCAAATGCTGGTGAGAGGAGAGGGACACAGAAGAGTTCACATGTGAGAGAACCTCACAGGATCACTGATTCACACATGGCTGGAACATCTCATGCAAGTCTACTGTATGAAGATTAACATTATTTGTGAGGTAAGTATTTGACAGATGTTTCTTTTAGTTTCACTGCCTCATTTCAAGTGTACTGGGAAACAAAAGTCTGATTTCACTACTTAAATTGCTTTTTTTATACAAAAGAAAATTTTGCATTACAAATTACAAGGGATGCACAAGGTATACATCGGCACCATATCGGTATCGGCTGATATATGTTCTTTTATAATGTTATCGTTTTCGGGGCGATAAGAAAATGTGGCCGAGCTGATAAATAATAAATTATTTCCCTCAGCTAAGACACTTCAGATGCCCACTGTTCGTCATGATGGTTTTGAATTGCTTGAAATATGATTGGCATCACTTTGAAATTTAAGAAAATACTGTGAAGTGCAACATGTACAGCACAATCTGTCATGGGCTATAAAAAATATAATGAGAACATTGTAATTAAGTGCTTGAGACATGGCTTTTAATGGTGAAACTTTAGTTTTTTGTAACCAGGCTCTCAAAAATGATTATCTATCTTTGGCTTTTTAAACATAAATTTACGGTATTGGCTAATTTTTTTTTATAAAAAACTACATTATTAACATAATAATTTGAGTACAAAAAAAATCAGAATGACTTACTATTTTGTATTATTTCCATTTTATATCTGTAATTGTTATTAATGTAATATGCTTATATTGTTTGCACTGTACAGGAGGGAAAGGTACAATTAAAGACCAAATTCAACAGAAAGTATCACTGAACTTTAGTGCATTTACACCTTGAATGAGATGGAAAGTTTGCTTGGTGCAAGTGATGGATATTTGATAGCGGTTATGCCACCATTGTTTAATACAACTGGAAACATGAACCTATATGAATATTTAAACATTAGCCGGATATGCAATTGTGCAGCACTGGCTTTTATAACCTACAAAAAGGTGAACATGTTCTCTCTAATACTTTGTGGTCATGCAAATTTGGTTGTGGTTTCTATCAGCATTCGGTCTTTACTGCATCAACTCCAGCATTAGAAGTAAGAGTCCTTTTTAAGTGATAACTGTGCATCATGATAATGAAACATCCGATTTACTAGATGTTTTAACCAGTGAAAAGGTCAAATACTAAAAAAGATATTGAATTCAAACTGATCAGATGTTAAAGGCATGAACATTTTTAATGACTCTCATATAGTTCCAAACCCATATGCTGTTTTTTATGCAGAATCTTTCAGCAATTTCACAGATTCGCTGGCGACGAGAAAGATCTATCAGTGACTATACACTATAATATACACAAACTCATTCACTGGAAAAGAGTTGTGGGAAGATTTATTTTTGTGTTCTACAACAATAATAATTAATAATCTGTTACATTTATATAGCAGTTTTCTGGTTAGTCAAAGTGCTTTTACACATGGAAGGGGGAATCTTCTCAACCACCACCAATGTGCAGCATCACCTGGATGATGCGACGGCAGCCATATTGCGCCAGAACGCCCACCGCACACCAACTTACTGTGGAGAGGTGTTGTCATTGTTAACTACTGTAAAACATTTACGTTAATTGGAATAAATTAAACGTTAACATAAGCAATAGAGAATATTAAAAACCTAAACTCTACTAAAATTACTAAAGCTAAAACAAGAATTACTAAAAACTAAATTGAACAATAAAAAGACCAACAACACAATTACTAATACTTTAACATTTCAATAAAATGGAGGCGAGTTAATCATGAGATTTTTTTTTTTTTTTTTTGTGGTTCCTTATAATCATTTCAGGAGGGTCAGATGTTTACTCCCATATAAAAGGGAAGTAAAACATGCCCAAGCAACTGAACGGATATAATAGGCAAGACTTGTTTACTAGCCTATATTTCACTTGTTTTCAGGACTCTCTCAGTGGATGGAGAAGGTTTAGTCTAGTTTAGTCCAGTGGGGAACAGCTCTCCATCATGGATCCATTCGACAAGCTGAGCAGAGAGAAACTGATCTTCTACCTGACGGTTCCACTCTCTTCAATCATCATCTTCTCCAACCTCTTCATTATCATAGGCATCGCCTGCAACCGGCAGCTGCACAACACCCCAAACTACTTCTTCTTGAGTCTGCTGGTGGCCGACTTGTGCACCGGCATCACCTTGCCTTTCATTCCCCGCATGACACTCGACCGGCATCTGGACTTCAAGCATTGCATGGTGATGTACATCTTCCCCAACTTTCTGTTCTTGTCGTTCCTCTTCAATCTGGTGATGGTGCATTACGAGCGCTACCTGTGTATCGTCAGCCCGCTCCACCACAGCCAGTTCTGGGTTCACCGCTGCTTTCCCTTGGCCTTATTAACCGTTTGGCTCCCGCCGTTGCTATACGCGTCCCTCCCTGCTTTTGGATGGAATAATTGGGTGGAACCCAATGCCAACAAGAGCTCCAACCCAAACGAGACGTTATTGAGATCAACCGCAGTTGGTAACACTTCCAAAGAGGATGAGGTTTGCTCCTACAAACAGGTTTTTCCCAAGGCTTTCATTTATCTGGAAGTGTGCGGACTGGTTCTGCCGGCCATGCTGTCCATCGTGGGCATGATGGGACGGGTGTTGTGGATCGCACACAAGCAGCTGCAGAAAATCTGCAAGCTCCACCGGGCCGTGGACCGACTTCAGCAGCAGCAGCCGACGGACCACGAGCAGCAGCTTAACCTGCGCTACGCCAAATGCGTGGCCGCCGTGTCCCTCACGTTCTTGGTCTGCTGGGTGCCGTATATCATCTACCAACTCATGTCCGTGACGGCTCTGCAGAGCGGGGTGAGCTTGCCAAGCTCCTCTCTGTACATCATCATGTCCTGTACGGGAATCGGGAGCATGGCCATCATTCCGCTGATACTGGGACTGGCCAACAAGCAGTACACTGAGCCCATCCGCATGGTGATGCGGAAACTGAGAAACCGCTGGAGAGGAGGACAGGACAACAGGGATATTGCGCTTTGACGAGTGGACAATGAGTCATAGGATGTTTCAATTGAAGGTTCTGTCATGCATTAAATGCTTTATATAAACTACTGTTTAAAAGTTTGGGGTCGGTAAGATCATTTATGCTAAAAAAAGGCTACGTTTATTTGAACAAAAATACAGTAAAACAGTAATAATGTGAAATATTATTATCATTTAAAAGGGTTTTAAATGTGAATAAATTTTAAAATGATGCAAAGCTGAATTTATCATCATTATTCCAGACTTCAGTGTGACATGATCCTTCCAAATCATTTTAATATGCTGATTTGCTGCTCAAGAAACATTGTTATTACAGAGTGCCGAAGTGATGACGTCACTTTGTAGGACAACCCGGAAGCTAGCGGCGCATGGGTTCCCTCGGTCGGTAAGCAATGCATTTTCCCCATAGACTTTTGGAAAAATCGCAAAAAATAAGATCTGTGTTAAACAAAGGGTTATGAGCCTTACACGTTTTGTCTAGCAAGATAATCTGTACAAGGTAATCCAAAATGTATACATTTTGAAGCCTATATAAAGATTTTAAAAAACACAATCAGACACAATAAAGTTTAAAAAACCACAAGCAGGTTATAACTGTGTGTTCTATGTCAAAGATCAAAACGTGAAAATATTTAGAGGCTTTGTTCACCACAGACCTTATTTCAGGCGATTTAGCAAAAACCCATTCAAAAATCCCATAGGCTTTAGAGCGAGGGAACCGTAATGCTAAAATGCTAACTGACTTCCGCGTTTTAGCCTACAGAGTGACGTCGTAACTTCGGCACTCTATTGATGTTGAAAACAGTTGTGCAGCTTAATATTTTGAAACCATGATAATAAAAAATAATGTCAGGATTCGTTGATGAGTAGAAAGTCCAGAAGAACAGCATTTATTTGAAATACAAACATTTTTTTGTAACATTATAAATGTCTTTACTGTCACTTTTGTTCATTTTAATATGTCCTGAATACATTTTTATTTTTTTTCTTACAGACCCCAAACTTTTGAACTGTATTGTAAAAGAACAAAACACTCTATTACTTGGTAATCACATCCATTTATCCCAGGCTCAACAATAAGCGTGTCAAGTTGACCCAGGATGTACGATGGAGAGTTGTGTGTTGCCACTGATCATCTTGTACATTTATTTTTATGTCTTGCAAACTTAAATGTTCAGTTCTCTGTGATGTGTTCTACTACATGGTTGTTGCAAATTGTGCTGATTTGTCACCAAGATAACAAACATTACTTGTCATACTGATAAAAATATGTTGAAAACTACAAAGCAGTTAATAATGGTTTATGCTGTAAAAATGTGTTTATGAATTTACAGAATGATAGCTGTATATTTAAGCATCAGAAGTTGCTTAAATATTTACTATCAGAAGATGTATCAGTACAAAAAAAATTTATTTTGTAAAGAAAAGAAAACCCGGGGGGATTTTTTTTAAAATAACATTAAAGAGTTAGTTTAGAGTTATATCAGCTACGCAACTACCACTTTTAAGCTCCAGATAGGTAATAAAGACATCATGAAATTAATCCATGTGACTCCAGTGGTTTAACTTCAGTTTTAAGAAGCAAAGCCAGTGCTTTGTTTGCGCAAAAAAAAATAAATTACCACTTTATTTACAGAATATTATTATCCAACACGTTCATGAGAGCACCACAATGCATGAGTTTTGTGTTGACGTGAGAGCAGACGTTGTGTAAATGCGCAATTATTATTTGTGTTTATAAAATCTACCTATCCATCTATCTAGCTCTATCATTAAAAATTGAGGACATTAAAGACAGTAAGCATACATTCACAATCTAAACATTTCCCACTGAGATAAAGCATTTACAATTAGATATACATTTGATGTCATAAAGTAAATAAATGAACAAAATGAGAGCTTTAAATGGACCAATGGTTTAAGATGTGATCATAGATGTGGTCAGCTATTTTTGTGACTGAGATAAGAGTGTTTTTCAGAGACCCTATACACTCGTTCCCAGAAACTGTCCTTCCGCTGCCAAATGCACTAACATTGAATTCATCAGGGTTAGGGAAATGTTAAATAATACACTGAGTCAAGAGAAAGTCTTTTGAATATTGTGTGTTTGCATACTGTCTGTATGACCGACAAGACAAAAGGCTAAAAATCACAAAGTAACTGTAAACAAGAGATATAAAAGACAAATTGAACTGTCCTGATGGTTTGTGTTGCAGGGTAACTTGTGAAATATGTGATGTCCAGTCCCTAGAGAATATTTCAGTAACTTCACAACAAACACTGGCCAAGACTCTCTAACGTTGATCATTACTCACATGTGCATTTATATAAAGAAGAAAGTATTTGACTAACGCTTTTAAGTCTGCAACTGTTCCCCAGAGTTTTGAAATAGAAGCTAAGGAAGGTCAATAGTGTAGAGTAAAAAACCACAAACACACCCTCACCCCTCCACCCACACACACATGCACAAATTTTTCTCTTGCACTTTCGCTACCCAACACTTTCTTCCTAATTACCACTCACTCGTTCAGCTTTCAGAAGACAAAGCATTAATTTAGGGACTGAAACCCCTGATAACTATTACATTTCAGTGATATTGGATTAGGCCATCTAAGTAGCTTTTAAATACGTGCCATAAAAAAAACATTACTAACATGCATCTTGAGACAAAACAATGGCAGTGGCATATTTTAAGACATTTTCAGTTAAAAAAGCTCAAACATGCATTTTAGTCTAGGATTAGGCCGTGAAAACGGGGGATAAACTTAAATATTTGTATGTTAAATATCTATATCGTTCCATAAATATGTAGTTATATGATTAACATAATGGTTTATAAACTAAGTACAATATGAAACACAATGATCACAGTGTCCATACTATACTCAAATTTAAAATAAATCAAAATAATAATACAAACCATTCAGATAAATGCATAAAAATTGAGTATACAGTCTATTTAGCCTTTGACCCTTCAATCTCTGAGGTTTTGATGAGAGCGGCTCTTCTTGGCTAAGAATAAGGGACGACATTCACTCCTGCTATTGTGCACTGATGTTTAAGCAAGCTATGGTTTGTTAATGAATATGAACGGCACATGAGTGATGTTATTGTAGAAGAGCATTTTATAAACACCTACCCCAGTGTTTTTAATCCTGAGTCTGATGGACACTCTGATTTATTAAATGCCTTATGGTGCAAACTTCAGAAAGCATGAGCTTGAAACTAATTTGTTATGCCGGTTTTTCATTTTTCATTTAAAAGCATTTTAAAGAGCTATAATTAACAGTACTGAAACTTGCCAGTGCTTACTTCAAAAAATTTTAAAAGATAATGTGACAGACCTGGATTTTTTTGCAATGGTATAAAGAATTTATCACTCATGGTCTTTGGGATGACATATGCACTTACAGAGCGACTGTATAAAAAAATATACTTTTTTTTCACTTCTCAACTATATTACATTTATGCTATGCTTTGGGGTATATGTGATCCTATTTTTTTAACCTATTTACCACAAAATTGCATTTGAAATTTGCTTGATTAATTATTTCTGTAAAAAAAATATAGGCTATATATTTTAATGATGATCTAAAAAGTTGTTTCTGGATATTAATCTAGGTGTTATAAGCAGAATTCTGGCACCTGCTGGTTATAAGAAAAACTGTAGGACTTAAAAGTTTTAGAAATAAAGTTTGACCATATATTTGTCCAGCATAGGACCTTAGAGATTCATTCATTTTTCTGGACGTGGCCAACTGCTCCTATCACAACCTATTTTCTTTTCATTTTTCGATATTTTGTGTATATACATATGTGATGTGATTTTTTGAGGTTTTAACAATAATGCCACATGAACATAAGGGTCAAATTGTATTCACAAATGTATATCTTAAAAAAATAAAATATGAAAATAAAACCAATAGCAAGTGTGTGTGTGTGTGTGTGTGTGTGTGGTCTCACCCCTTCATATCTACATTTGTGGCTTACTTTTGCTAAACTCTACAAATTCTGTCTGTGGAAGTCACACCTCATGTGTGTGTGAGTAAACATATTTGTTTCACATTACATTTGTGCTCTAATATCAGGCATTTAGTTTCTGTTTGAACGTTTTCAGAATTATGCTGGATTTATGGATTCTATAAAAATAAAAAATCTGTTTTTAGTTTTTCAAGTTTTAGCTGTTTAAGTGTTTGTTTGTTTTTTACCTTCAGAACAATCCAATCAAGCCCAGTTTTTGTGTTTTTAGATAGATAATGTAACAAAAGTCACAAATCTCATGCCACTTTTTTTTATAACTTGTATAACTTTTTATGAGGGAAACATCATATCATCAGATCGCACTGCAGACCAACCTCATTCAACCAGTGGGTTGAACACAGACTTGCATCTTTGGTGACTTCAGAACAGTTTCCGGTTTTGTTGTTTTTGTTTTGTATTTGTTAACCTCCTCAGTGGAGGGAGGACTGTTTAGTTGTTCATTTATTGTTGAACCTTGTTACCGTGTTGTTACTTAGCCTGTGTTTATTGCTTGTCTCACCTTGTTTGCTCGCTGTCTCATTCAGAGAGAGTAGTTTGTATTGGTTCTCTTTTGTCAATATGGTAATAAATACACTTTTCAATTTGCACATAAACCTGACTTCCTGTTCTCTTTTTGCCCTGGTTTTATTTTAAATATTGTTGCTTCTCCTCTCCCTGGACTTACCATCTGGAGGAACGCAACAAAGAGTGATGAGTGAATCACAAAAACATGTCATTTATCCCTAAAATCAATTATATTTGTATTATAACATTTATAATTTGTATTTGTAATTATATTTAAAATTACATAAGCATAAGAAATGTTTTAAATATTGTAATAAGCAAAAAACAAAAGGCAGTGCAACAAATTCAACTAAACAAAAAACATAATAGTGATGAATTTTACTATTTAAAATATGGTGAGATTTTCTTATGGCGGTGATGACCAGAAAACTTAAAGGGTTTAATAAGAGTCCCCGATATAACTGTTTCCTCTCATCTGTTGAGAACTGTATATTATATTCACTTGTATCATAAAATCCATTAGCAGAGAAATGGATGCCCCAAAAGAACAGGTACATCCTATCTAGCCAGCTTAATT